AAACTTGTTCTATGCCACTTCACAGATGTGGCATTCTGGTTGTTTGAAATGCTATGTGATTAACTTTTCACATATTCTCTCACCTTGAACTGGGGAATTAGGTTTGCTTTAAGATGCTCTACATTTTCTTTATATTTAACCAAATAACAAGTTCTACTAACAATATTTTTATTGTCTGGCTACATGCATTGCCATGCAGTGTGGAAGCTCACGCTTTAATCAAGTGATTGGCAGCTCTCAAGACTTCTTGGTGTCAGGTGTGGTCAAGTTGATGCTGAGCATGAGGACCCAGGGTACAACAAAGCACAGCACTGCCCGGTCCTGTGCCGCCCTCACCATTGTTTTATGCTTGAGCCCATTGTTGCAGCCACGGAGCCAATCCATCTCATTGAGGGGCTTCTGCTATTTCTCTACCCTTCAGCTTTGTCAAGTATACTGCCCTTCTCTGGGTACACGTCCCTCCTGATAACGTGGACAAAGGATGTGAAACGAAGCCTCACCATTTTCACTTCTCTCCAGATGGGCTAATATATTTCATTCTTTAACTCCTAAAGCTCTCAATTAAATCATTTACATTTGTGCTTGGTAAATATTTCTCCTGCAATGTGTTTTGAATTTTCTTTCAACCTTTTAAAAGGTATGCTTTACAGAGACTATACTTAAAATTACTTTCTCTTATGCATCTCCTTTTTAAGAAACTACTAGATGCTGTATACTTTCAAACATGAATATTTTTACCCATATTGGCTGAAAATTAGGACATCCTTTTGAGATATTCTCAATAGCCTTATATTGAAATTACGTAGGTGACAGTAAGATTGTTACTCTGAGTACACACTTGTTATGTCATTGTAGTTTGTTTTGTCAGCGGTAGCTTAGAACCGCCTCTAAATCTTTCAGCCACAATTACCTCCACAGACCTCTTTCTCTGTATGTGTTACATCAAAGCCAAGATAACTTTTATAGTATTGCCGATGTAACCTGTATCTCCTCAAAGCAATCCTTATTGATGACATGGATAAAGATCTTGGGTGGAAGACTATTATGGTAACTATTGCATTCTCTCAGAACCAAGCTCACTGCCCTCTAGGCATCAGCTCCGATGCATGGCGACCTTAGGAGGCACAGCAGACCTGCACCTTTGGGTGACAGGTGCAAAGAGCTTCGTCTTTCTCACACAAGAGCAGGCAGCGGGTTCCGACCGTTGAGCATGTCAGTAGCAGCCCAGCACGTCATCCACTACGCCACCAGTCACACTCTCTAAGAGTTGTTGATTAGGGTAGGGTTCCCTCATTGTGTAGGCAGTAAAAATAACTGCTAATAATTACAGTCTTTACCCTTTCCAGCTTATTGTCACACGTTTTCCAACATGCACAATGCTTAATTACAAAAAGGAAGTTGCCTTTTCACCCTCTGTGTGTTTCATTATCTTGAGGACCCCCTTAATGCTCATTGTCAGTCAAAATATAAGAAGATACCATTTTGGGAGAATAAGTGTTCATCGTTAATCAGCCAAATGTAACCACTTCAAGCCATGAGTACATTTTTGATGTTTTGGTTTCTTGCTACTATACCAGGAAGGTCTCCTCGTTTTGCCTTTACTCTTAAAATGAATTTAGTTCATCCGAACCTTTTTCTTCGTCCCTCACTACTTTGGGAAACAGGTTGTCTTGATCAGGTTATTCATGAATCAGAGATTTGGTAAACTAGAATTTGATTACCTTTCTTTAATAAGGAAATAATTGATCAATTTGAAGATTACAAGTAGTTTTGTTTTTTAAAGATCATTTTATTGGGGGCTCTTTCACCTCCTAGAGCAATCCATATATCAGTGTATCAAGCATATTTGTACATATGTTGCCATTATCATTTTCTAAACATTTACTTTCTATTTGAGCCCTTGGTGCCAGCTCCTCTAGTGTTTTTGGGTTTGTTTTTTTGAGTAGTTGAGTTATGCAATCGGAGTTATACAGCTTCAGAGACAAGTCACCTCATTTTGAAAAGGCCTCCTGGTCAAAGCGCAGAATGCCTTCTTTGGCTGCAGTTGGACGCGAATCTTCACTAACTAGGAAGTCGCTGCCGCCCTGACCCCGTCAAAGCAAAGAGGGCTGGTGGTGTGCAGTCTTTGACAACTGCGAGGGCCATGGCAAGAAAAATGTACACAGCTACTGTGGCTAAAATAATTGTCGCAATGTTATCGTTTTATATCGTTTCCCCCTCACTACCTAGACCTTCACCATTTAACCAACTTTAATATTTTTTCTGTCTTACTCTCCTTTTCAAGACTTTCAAGAGCCTCTTTGCCCACGTTGAGCCCAGACCTTTTAAAACTCATGTGAAGTTGGGCTCTGTGTGTCCTTCTGTTGCCATCATCCTTTGATCGCGTTAGTTGGACTCGGGTCACGCATCCAACAGGTCAGGTGCTTGCTTACTGCCAGGTGATTAGCCAGTGACCACGAGGCCTGTTCTCTTGCTCGTTTTCTGGTGAGGGCAGAGACTACAGAGCAGTAAACCCATGCACACGACAAGTGTAGCACTTCTGAGATAGGGAATAATGGAAATAAGGCAGTGGCTCTGTCTTTTTAAGCTTCTGTTAACTTTTTTATCTCCCAGTCATTATTTTTTTAATTATTACTTTCGCCTTAAACATACATGTTGGTTAAAACATGAACTTTGGAGCCAGGCACCCTGGATTAGTAGATGAGTTCTGTGCTCCCTGGCGATGATTCCTTCACCTCCCTGTGGCTCAGTAGGGCTCTGACCATAGATGATGGTTCATGGGGTTCTGATAAAGATTACATAAGTTAGTCCTACAAGTATTTGAAACAATAGTTGGTTCATAGTTAGGACTCGGCAAAAAGAGAATTTTCTGAGCGGGGAGTCCTTTCCTCATAAAATTGAAGTGTAAAAAGATGGAAATATGTTCAGCACAAAATTCTGTATAAGTCTTAGCATTTTTTTTTCTTCAGCACATAATAGTACTGGTGTAGATACAGTTATACTGATGACCTTAAATCTAAGGGGAAAGATACCCCAAGGTAATCTAGAGGAGACCCGATGATACAGCAGTTAAAATGCTCAACTGCTAAACTGAAAGTTTGCTAGTTCAAGTCCCCTAGCTGTTCCATAAGAGAAAGAAGTGGCAGTTTGTGTCCGCAAAGATTTTAAGTCTTAGAAACTTATAGGCAGGTCGCCTTTGTCCCAAAGGGTCTCTGTGAGATGAACTTCATGGCAACAGGTTTGCGTTGTGTGAGTGTGTGTGCGTTTAAGGCAATTTAAATTCTATTTTCTGCCTTTTTATTAGGTGTGCTAAATGTACATTAGTAACTTGCCTGTTCAGAATGAACAGATTGGACTTCTTTTCTTAAAGCTTTCATTTATCTATGCATTAATATAAACGTTGAACTATTCAATGTTGGTGAAATGACATACATATTTCAGGACTTATTTTCCCTTATGTGTAAAAATATATATTTTTCATAGCAAATACCTTTTTTGTGTGTATTTTGTTTTATTATTTAATCATTTTATTAGGTGCTCTTACAGCTCTTATACCAATCCTTACATCAGTCACATTTGTAAATCTTGCCATCATCATTTTCAAAACACTTTCTACTCGAGCCCTTGGTATCAGCTCCTCTTTTCACCCTCCCCCCTCCCCTTCCTTCCCACCCTTGTGTCCCCTTGATAAATTATAAATTACTATTATTTTCTTATCTTACACTGTCCTCTGTCTCCCTTCACCAACATTTCTGTTGTTCGCCACCCCCATGTCCTGGGGAGAGGTGGTGGTTACATGTCGGTCATTACAATCAGTTCCCCCTTTCTCCCCCCATCTTCCCCCTACCCTCTGAAAATATTATTAACTAAATTAATTGTCAAAGGTTCTTCTAACCTTCTGTCCTCCTGTCTGAGGCTAATCCTTTAGCAGCCTTCTCATTTTTGTCACTCCCGCCACCTCTTTGTCTTTTGGTTTGTCTCACACTTCACTGCTCACCTCGAAGGTCAAGAATATTCCTGTTTTCACCTTCATTGCTAGTGGGATGACCGTGAATTCACGCCCTCTTGTCCAAAGAGCCCAGTGCAGTGCTCAGTGCCTTTCTTCACAATCCCCCAAACCCCGACCTCACCTCCATGGAGTTGATTTGGAGTCAGCGACCCCATAGGACAGAGTAGCGTTGCCCTGGGGGTTTTCTGAGACCGTTAATCTTGACAGAGTGAAAAGAGCCTCCTCTTTTTCCCAAGGAGTGGCTGGTGGTTTCGCACTGTGACATTGCAGTTAGCAGCCCAACGTATAAGCGGAGACAGCACCAGGGTTGCAGGTGCCTCTCATTGCTGTCGCCACTGTTGAAATTCTGCACGTACACCCTTCTCTTCAGTCAAGCCAGTGTGAGGACAAGGCTCTATCCTGATGTGTGCATTGCATGTTTTCCTCTAGTGGCACTTCGTTGTTTGTGTTAATCCTGTGCTCCTGTTGTCTGTACCCGGGCCTCTCTCCTACTTCTTGGAAACACATGTGCGTGTTTTCCAGGTTTAGCTTAAATTTCACTTCCTTTGTGACTTTTGAAAATTCATTTATGACTTACCTGTCCCTAAAATATACAGGGAGATGTGCATATCTAGATCAGTTATATAAGGACTTCTTTAAAACATTAGAACATGGCTATTTTGAGCATGTTGTCCATTGAGCATACAGCACCCCACTGGCATGGAGTGGTTTCATGCTCATCGTGATCCTACATGAGGGTTTTGAGCCTGTACATGTGTATGGGAGCTGTCATTGTTCTCCCATGCAGCCACTGGTGGCTTTGAGCCCCTGACCTTGCAGCTAGCCACCTAGCCCTAACCCACGGTGCCCTCGGGGCCATTTATACCAGCATATACTAATGTTGGCATAAAGCATGTGCTTAATACACAGTCATTTTCTTGCAAATTTTAAGAAAGAATTTTTTTGTATATGATTTATCTGTTCGCCTAATTACGTTCCCTTTGTTTTGTAGAGGCTGCAAGTCGGGCCATAGTCCAATTCCTGGAAATCAATCAGAGTGAGGAAGCTAGTCGAGGTTGGATGCTTCTGACAACAATTAATTTGTTAGCCTCCTCTGGGCAGGTGAGTCCTTGGTTCTGATGTGGGGTGACCCAGACACTTTTTGTATCCGCTTGGGACTTTGCTAAATTCAGTCGGTCATTGACTGGCCATAGGTTTTGTTTGTGATGATCACTGTGTCCTCCAGTGCCCTTCCATGTTACTTCCTGCATCTCCTGTGAGGTCGATGCTGTATGCACCTATACATGGAGTAATGCAGGGGTTCCCATCTTTGTCCTGAGCTAGCATAGAGGAAATGATCCGATTGTGTAGTACCTTGGACCAAGAGAGTTCACTACTTTGGTTTGAGGCAAATAGCCATGATCCCTGGCTCCATCAGTCCCAGCCCAGCACTGTTAGTAGAATACCTGTTCTTCTACAGCAGTGGTTCTCAACCTTCCTGATGCCGTGACCCTTTCATACAGTGTCTTATGTTGTGACCCCCCCAACCATAAAATTATTTTTATTGCTACTTCATAACTGTAATTTGGCTACTGTTATGAATCAGGTAACCCCTGTGAAAGGGTTGTTTGACCCCCAAAGGGGATGCGTCCCACATATGGAGACTGCTGATCTAAAGTGACTCCAATGAATTCATAACATGAAAAATACTTTCTGTCCCCTTCCCTGTCAAAGGATTTATTCTAAACAAATCTGCAAAAATGTATGTTGTGTATATTCATTATTAAACCATCTGGATGCCCGAATTTTGGCCCTCTATGCTTAAGCCTTCTGAAATCGAGGGTCAAGTTTCTTGTTAATGGTAGTGTAAAACTTGGGAGTGCCTGTTGTCTGCCTGACTTCAGAGGACTTCCAAAGCGCTCCCTCCTTCAAAGCAGTTGACAAGAGTGACTCCCACCACTCCTGCTTGGGGACTGGCCACACCGAGACCCTGCATAAGCCTCAGTAACTACACCCTGCGACTAATGACGAGCCCAAAAGAAGCATCACTTGATTTTTTTATCCTTGGAGCCGTCTGCTTCCTTTTTAGTTTGTTTGCCTTTTCCTTTCACTCGGAAAGGCTGTTGACCAGCCTGTCCTGTTTTGCAGAGACTCCCAGACCTAAGCCAAACTCCCTGCCATTGAGTTGATGCCAACTACGAGTGACCCGTTAGGACAGGCTAGAACCGCCCTGCAAGTTTCCGAGACTATAATTGTTTACAGGAGTCGAAGGCCCGTCTTTCTCCCTTGGAGCAGCTGGTAGTTTTGAACTGCAAACCTTTCGGATTGCAGTCCAGCACATAACTGCTGTGCTACCAGGGCTCCATTTTGAAATACTCCCAGTATCCCTGAAATCCTCACATGCCAGAAACCTCATCCTTCCTAGAAAATCAAGATGGCAGGTCAGCCCAAGTGGGGAATAAGCCATGTGATGATCAGAATCCCAATTCTCTTTGCTCTCTGTGGTAGCTCTAAATGCCTTGGTGTGACTGTGCCAAAATTTTCGCTGGGTTGAGAATTATTAGCATGTAAAATAATGTTTTTCTGGAATATTCCCCATCTTTATTCCTGTTTTTGAAGCTGATCTCTTTCTTCTCCTCAATTGTGAGCAGAGACTGTGCCCTTCTAGGGTAGTTAACACAGTGGAAACACAGGGAATGTGGGTCAGTGTCAGCCTACAGAAATGGGTACTCAGCTTCAAGAATAAAAGAAGAGAATCAAGACAAGCCTATTCCCTTTAAACAA